AGCAATAATGTTCCATTTCCTATTTTCTGATTGCCCTCAACTCATCACATCTATATATATCCCGTTCATGCAGTCCCAGGACTAGAGTCTGGAGGACATGCACCTGCATGGGGGCAGTACCTTCCTGCATGCCACATATGCTGGTTTAGATGTGTCGAGGTCTGCATGGCATATCAGGAGAGGTGGAGAGGACTGTCAGGAGGAGGGGAGCTCGAAGGGGGGCAGCCCATCTCCCCTGAGCTTGCCATCGCCCAAGGACTGCGCAAAAACCTCAGAGATAAATATATATGTACGTGCAATGTACAAACCCATGCATATGTTTGTATATTTTGTTGGCATCCTAGCACGTGTATGCACGCACATTTGTGCACGTATTTATGCGCAGTGTGTGTGTGTACATACAGTTTATATAGAGATGTATGCATGCATGTATATGCTGGTTTACCTATGTGCACGAAACCATCTCTTAATCATCCTTCGGGAGGAGTTTCCAGCCGGCAAACCCATTCTCCCCACGGCTGGAGGGAAGCGTCCGCCGCCCCTCCCGCCGCCCAGGCACTGCCGGGGCTGAGGCAGAGCCCAGGAGCTGCTGCAGGGGGAGCGAGAGGGACCCCAAAAGCAGCGCTGCTGCCCTGAGGCTGTTCTTGCTGGGTGTTCGCACAGACACAGGTGGGTCCGGGACACTCCCACACACAGCCTGCACACGGCAAGGGTCCCTCCTCGGAGGGAAGGGAACTGAAGCAAGTCTTTCCCCTGTTTTTCTTTGTTTGTAATTGGGAAAGACTTCAAGCGCAAAGTCTTAAGAGCCTCCTGAGGTGCTTCAGAGCAAAGGTAAATTCACCTCACGACAGAGCAGAGAGGTAAAACAGATTTGCCCGCGACACGAGTAAAGAAAGGGTCAGTGACCCGCTGGTCCCCGTGTCAAGGCGCGTAAATAACCCCAGGGAAGGATCTCCACCAGCCCAGAGACGGGGCTGCCTTTGTCTCTGCCCCTCCAGGCGGCAGCGGGCTCTTGCCGAGGGGGCGCAGCCGAGGGCGGCGAACAAAGGGAGAAAGCTCTGTCAGCGCAGCCCTGCCCGTTCAGCAGATGCCCGGCACCCCTGCCCGGCCCGAGCAGGCTCCCCTGAAGGGGACGCTAAATAATTGATCATCATCGATTGCCCGCATGCACTGGGAAGCGAGAGCGGGCGCATCCCTTCCCTGCAGCCCGCTCCTTCCCCCAGTTGCGCTGTAATCCTATTCCACCATGTGCAGATAGATGAAGGGACGTAATTCAGCCTTCAGGCCTGGGCGGGGTTCTCGCCGTTTAATCTTTTCCTTTCTCTTCCCTTCGCTGCTTTCTTCC